ACAGGTTCTATTACTCTGGCTAATCCTGACTAATACAGATACTCGCTGTGCATTTAGTAAACTTCTTTCTTTATAATGAAAAATGGTAGGAAATATGATGATAGAGTTGTTAGCTATTACCCTCAAATAAGGCTGACTTAGAAACTACTATCTCATATAACATTATCATCATCATATTATAACTCACAGAATAACTTGTATATGAAATTTCTTTGAAATGATGGTCCAAAAGTTGAACCAGCCTGATAATTACTTTTTCTAATAAACATGTATCAGCTATTAACCTTATTGACATGACACAATGGGATTTTGATTGGTTACCATCACTGTCAGTCATGTTTCCCAAGAAAAAGTTATGAAAAGGTCCATAATATTTTATCCTTTTGAAGAGATGCCCTATTAAAATCCTCATCAAGCTTCCCCAAATAAGGAGGAAACTACAAAACCAAGAGTGGAAATCTTTAGAATATTTGCATAGTGCTATTTAAGTAGGGAACAGAATAAATGCAGAAACTCCATTCTGACTGGTCTTTAATATCTTGATTTAAAAATTTTTCCTTCACTGATTATTAAAAGAGTGATTATCCAGTATGGTCCCAAACCAACAGTATTAGCGTTTGAATCAGAAACTCATAATATAGTGCATCAATGGGTTTCCAGCGCTCCAGGTGAATCTGAGGCATACTAAAGTTTGAGAATTACTATGTTAAAGGAAAAACAACAATAAAAAAGATAGGCTAGACTACAGAGGTGCTCACACATACACACATACCTAATGTGTACACACTAATAAGATTCTGCCCTAGCTAGTGCACAGCTCACACTGAGAAATACTATTCTCGATTTGATGGTGTTTGTTTTTACATACTCCTAAGTTTGTTGATTCTTTAAACATAGCCTAGCATAATGTTGTCAACAACTTCTCAACAGCACAAGGTATTATAAAATGATGAGGAAAAAATATTTATACATGTACGTAAAGAGAGAGGAACTATGAATTCTTTTATATGTCTATGTTAAAAAATTAATAACCTTCATAGAGTATTTCTGTTATGTTATTAGCATTTCCAAGAGATGGTTTAATCCAGTATCAGCAGTTTTCCAGACAACTAAATGAACTTAGCATTGTGATGTCAACCTTTATATCTAAATACCATTAAATAATACATAAGTAATTTCATAGATTCTTTTTAAGGAATTCTGCAGACTGTCTTCTAAAATGCAGGCTTTGCACAAGTTCATATTTTACATCTTTCCCAAATGCCACTGAAATGACATATATTGTGTGCAAATATGAAAAAAACTTGTAACTTAAGTGAGAATGGGAGCACATCAATGAAGAAGAGATTTTCTGAATTTCTGGAAGGCAGAAAATAGACGGGAGTTTTCTGAAAGACGCATTACAGCAGTAGAATCCATAGATTAGACACGCTCAAGAGAAGGCTACACAGGAAGCCTGGGTTTCTGAGAGACCACCAATGCCTACTTCATACCTACCCTACTTAAAGAAGAACTTGACAGTACACACCGTGCTCATGTACTCTTAGGTGGTATCAACCTTTTCATCCAAACAAAAGGCCAGTTAGGAAAATAAACCTTTATGATTGCAAAACAAATACACAACATTTATCTATATTATCAATATAGTCTTTGGGTCATAACTATAAGTGTATGAACAAGCAAAGATTTAAATAAATTATGGAAAAAACAGAACAATGGGAATATTATACAGCAACAAAAATTAATACACTATGGACATATTTAATACATGGATTCCCTAGTGAAAAATAATGAAAGCATCCTGGGTTGTGATCCTTTCACTCCCTCTCTGAGACTTGGGGCTATCCCTCAAGAAGCAAAAAAGAGGCAAATAATCTATTCTAATCTTGTGACCAGCACTTTCATAAATATCTAATAATGATATTTGTTGTAAATATTTTTATGATTTGTATCCTTAATCCAAACATGTAACTGAAGACCTTCATCCAGACGTTTTGTCATACTCTATCCCAGGAACTAATCCTCCTGCTAGCAAGAATAAGATTAGTTAGTTTTGGGTATATGATCCTTGTGGATGTCTTGTAAGAAATGTGTGAAGGTGAACTGGCATAGAGTAGCCATCCCAGCCCCTCTAATCTCTGTGGGTTTATTATAAGACTGAAAATAAGTGATGTGCTTGTACTTCATTTGAGGTATTTGTCCTGTCAGGATCATTTCAATTTTATATATATTTCCATAAATGCTTATTTAGGACCTCTTGTGTATAAATGACTATGCTAGGCATCACAAAGGATTGAAAGAATAGTGAGACTTCTAAACTGTCATCTAAAAAAGCTTGTAGGTCAAAAATAAGTATTACACAATGTCATCTGTGGCCTAAAGAATAAATAAACTACTCAGTATTTCAAATGAGGGAACATTCTTATTCTCTTTAAGTAATCTGGAAATGCTTCATGGAAGCTGTAACATAAAGGACCGTTTCAGTTGTACATGAAGTCAGATTCACCTAGAGGGAGCATTCTCAGTGGAGAGACCTATGTGAACAAAATGATGTACCTGAGAGGAAGGTTTTTGCAGAGGCTTTCAGTAATTCATTTAGGTATAACATAGGGTCCATTAGGATATTGTGGAAGCACAGATTTCAGAATTAGATCAAGATTTTATTGGGAAAGACTTCAAATAATGCTAATGTGAACAAATGCAGGGTAATACATATATGTATATATAAATCATTTAATCTTTTTATAAATATAAACAAGTAAATATACCCATATTCATGTAGAGTTATAGGTATGTATACCATATCTATGTATACATAATCTGGTAGTGATGACAATCCAATAAAAGTTATTGAAGATGGATATTATTCATTCATAATTATGTTTATACAGAATAATCTGACAGCAATATTTGGGAAGTAAGAGACTACCAACAGGATTTCAGATAAGCAACAAGACTATTGCAAATGACAGATGTCAGTTTTAGGATGAGAGCCTCAGCAGTGTCAGTAGAAATGTAGATAGAATCAGTGGTGAGAGTGGAAGGTCAGGGATGGAGCTGAAGATGAATCACTTCTTGTTTTTAGAGTATGGAGTGTGATGAAAGCTAACATTTAAGGACTTTGGGGGGAGAAAATGTGCAAACCTTTGCTCATTTTCATGTCCTTTCCAGTTACTCACTGGACACTCTAATATATATCATCGTTACATTGTTTGAACTTGGACAATATGCGTTTGAAGCCTCTTGTTCTCAATAACATTTTCTAATAATCTATACATGTTACTTTCTTTTTCTGATTGGTTTCATTTTTTTAAAATTGCAGGAATGTTGAGGCAATTTCCTTACTATTTTGCTGCTTCTCTTTTCCTCTCTATTCCCATCCCAGTTAAATCTGCAATCTCATTGCTTAGCTTTGTGATTTACTAAAGCTTTTCAGATTATCCTACAACATACAAATTAGACATGGCCTTTCAAGACATCATAGACACTGAGAGATATCTTCCCTCTTCTCATTATTCACAGACAACACATTGGGCTAAGCACATCCTTTTACAGTTTGACCTGACCTTCCCTACTTTAACTCCTTTCTCAAATTTTTTCATTACCTTCCATTTCTGTTAATTTCTCTGTATGATATGAGTTAAAACCCTACAAAAAGTGAATTTCACCATGTCCCAAATAGAGTGGATGAAAGACCTTTTGATGGCTAGCAGAATTCCTGGAATTTACCTCTGTTCATTCAAACACAAACCTGCCTCCGCTGTGGAGTTAAATATAATATGATTCTCCAGACTGCACAGCTCTATTATTATCAAAGACATGGTATTCAAATTCTTTTCAGAGAATTATACTACTAAAGTGTTTAATGCATCTGTGAAGAAACATTTAGAAGATATGTGTGAAATATTTTGTTTTCTTTTTTAGTTATTCTAGTATGACTTGAACACTTGATTAGAATTTTCTCTGTGTTTTTCAGCAACATATAAACATTTTAAGATACTTATTAGCACTCTTAGCTTAAGTCATTAAAACTCTAGTGCATTTTTTAATGATGGCTGTTCTGACTGGTGTGTGGTGATAACTCATTGTAGTTTTGATTTGCATTTCTCATTAAAAAGTCCATAAATTGCTGGAGAGGGTGTGGAGAAAAGGGAACCCTCCCACACTCTTGGTGGGAATGCAGCAGTTTGGTGCAGCCATTATGGAAAACAGTATGGAGATTCCTCAAAAAACTAAAATTAGACTTACCATATGATCTAGCGACCCCACTTCTGGGCATATATCCAGAGAAAAGTATAATTCAAAAAGACACATGCACCCCAGTGTTCACAACAGCACTATTTACAATAGTCAAGACATGGAAACAACCTAAATGTCTATCGACAGAAGCCTGGGTAAAGAAGCTATGGTATATTTATACAATGGAACACTACTCAGCCATAGAAAAGAATAAAATAATACCATTTGCAGCACCACAGATGCACGTGGAGATTGTCATTTCTAAGTGAAATAAGCCAGAAAGAGAAAGAAAAATAGCATATGATATCATTCATGTGTGGAATCTAAAAAAAGAAAAAGAAAAAAGACTACAGAACAGAAACAGACTCACACACATAGTAAACAAACCTATGGTTACCATGGGGAAAGTGGATGGGAAGGGATACATTGGGAGCTCTAGAATTGCTAATATTAACTACTATATATAAAATAGGTCTAAAAAAACCAAATTTCTTCTGTATATCACAGGAAACTATATTCAATATCTTGTAGTAACCTATAATGAAAAAGAATATGGAAACAAATATATATATGTATTTGTATGACTGAAACATTATGCTGTACCCCAGAAACTGACACATTATAACTGCAAAAAATTTTTGAAAAAACCTCTAGGGCAATTATAAATGCAAAAAACTTCAAACATGAATCAGTATACAGAAACATCTAATCTGCACAATTTTATGATATTTAATGAAGGAGGAGACATATCAGTATGATATCTAAACATTTCTCTTAAACATTTTTGCCAGTGAATCTGTGACTTTCTTATTTCTCAAGCTGTAGATAATTGGATTTAACAAAGGAATTATGACCATGTAAAATAAAGAGTCCATCATATCTTGATCATCTGCTTGTGCAGATCCAGGGCGCACATACATGAAGAGAAGAGGCCCATAGTATAAAAAGACAGATAAGAGGTGAGCTCCGCAGGTGGAGAAGGCTTTCCTTATGCCTTGTACAGACTTCTTTTTTAAGACTGTAAAGAGAACAAGTGTATAAGAGACAAGAACAATAAGGATGGTGAACACTTGTATTGACCCAGAGAAGATAAAAGCCATCAGAAAATTAATGGAAGGATCAGTACAGGAAATCTTAAACAATGGTACAATGTCACAGTAAAAGTGATGTATTATATTATAGTTACAGAAAGTTAATCTGAATAAAAAAGCATTATGAAGTATGGCATGAAAAAGACCACCTAAAAATGACAAAACTAACAGTCGGATGCAAAGTCTATTGGTCATAATCACTGGATAAAGTAATGGTTTGCATATAGCCACATAACGATCATATGCCATTGTTGCCAGCAAAAAACATTCTGTGGTTACACTGATTGCAAAGGAAAAAAATTGTATCTTGCATTCAGTGAGAGACATTTTGCTCTTGGCAAAGAAATTGACCAGCAACTGGGGGGTCACTGTGGATGATATCCAAGCATCCACAAAGGCCAAATTTCCAAGGAAGAAGTACATGGGGATGTGAAGATGAGAGTCATTGCAGATGAGGGCAATCAGACCAAGGTTCCCCACAATGGTGATGAGATATACCACCAAGAACATCAGAAACAGAGGAATTTGCCACTCTGGTTGATATGTAAGTCCTGTGAGAATAAATTCTGTCAACAATGTTGCATTTTCCTTTTCCATATCCTCACTGGGTGTTATCTGAAATGAAATGGAGTAAATAAAAAAGTCACAAAGAATTTACAACATGAAAATATGGGGAAGAGAGTCTGAATAAATCATGCATATGAGAATTCCCTCTTAATTTTATTACATTTATAATGGATGAAATATTTCGTTTGAATAGAAATAAGTGCAGTTATTTAAATTAAAAGATGTGAAGCAATGAACCAGTTTAGAACAACAAAAGATTCTAAATATGTCCTTAATTTATAGGAATAGGATTGAGTGTAATAGTAAAATTACACTGGAACATGGTTATAGGATCAGGAGAAAGAAGCTTGATGAGCCTGGGTAATAAAAAATTTAAAGTCATGTGAAGGATCTTGAGCATTATTCATGAAGAAGCATGCACTAAAAACTTATGAGATAGGAGTGGCACTCTAAGAATTTTTTAAATAAATATATAACAGTATAGAATATAGGCTACAGAAATGAAAAATTAAAGTCAGGAATAGTAATCAGGAAGCTGTTACCATTGTCCAGTGAATTTCAAGCCAGATTACACAGCAGAATTTTATGAGGAAATTTTTGTACAAAATATAGATAGTGAGGTTTTACTGTAGAAATTGATTTAGTGGGTTAAGAATGAAGTCTAATGACCTACATTTTAAATTACTCAAGTGATTAAAAAACATATGAAGTGCAAGTGAAGAATAGATGGGTCACTTGGTGACGGGGTAGATTTTCATGAAGAATTGATTGAGAACTCAGATGCAGTGACCATTTTGGGGAGATAGTGTCCTCTAACATTTAGGTGATACATATTTTATGGTATGAGTTTATTCGAGCTTAACAGAAGTAATGACTTGGAGTCATTTAAGTAGCTTAAGGCATACTTAACTTATCCATTGGAAAGTGTGTACAAGGAAAAGAGAAGTAGGGTAAAAATGAAACTCGAGAAAATAAAGCTGTTCTAGAGGATATACGTCATGTTTTAGATAGCCTCATGTGATCTTCTTTTCTATGACATAATCTGGTAGCAGGCAGTCTACCAACCTATTCTAGAGGTCAGAAGAGCCAGTAATTGACTTTTCCACTCCCCTTCACCTAGAGTGAGGGGACTTGATGTAGGTTTAGCAAATCAAATCCACCCACACTAGATTTGGAATTTGGAGAGAAGGTGACAAAGGGGCAAGAAGAAGAAAGAATTTTGGTTGCTAAGGTAGCCAGGACAGCAATGGAAGTCTTCAGCAGCTGTATCCTTCACCAGCACCAATGACATTCTCAGTATGAGCAGTGGCATCCAAGATAGAATTGACAGCAGCCCTCATGGAACTAATGTTGGGATGTGTTTTTGACTGTTGACTGACTGCCTTGCTTCCGTCTGTTGCTGTCCATTTTCCCAGCTGATTCCTGTAATTTCACCAGCATTTCTACATTAGAGAATATGTCCATTCAAAAAACAATATTGCAAACAGTATTACAAACAATAGCCCTGGCTGGCATCAGTGAAAGAGAAGGAGAGACCAGCAGAGAATACTGAGCAGAAAAATGAGCGAAGGAAGGGGAAACTGGAGACACAAGTGTTACGAACATAAGAAGGAAAGATACTCAAGAAGGGCAAATAAATGTCTATCACCAGTTGCTAAAGTAAATGCTATAGTAGGACATGGAATGAACAGATGTCCTTCAGCATGTAAAACAAGAGGGTTTTTTTTAGTGGCTTTAGTGAGAGCAATTTCCATTATGAGATAGAGCTGAGGCCAGGGAATAATAATTTAAAAAAAAAGTGAATGGAAAACAAATGGCACAACAGTGAGGAAAATGAAATAGTGTATCCAAGTTGTGGAGAACAGTTGTCAAATAGGCAGATATATTTTTTTTCTGTAGATAATTTTAATAAATGTTTTCAAAAAAGAGGAGAGGAGAGGAAGGCATCAAGAAGAGAAAGGAGAAGCAGAAAGAGAAATTTGGGTGGGTAAAAATGTCACAGGATGGAGGAAGAGAAATCAGCGGAAAATAACAGAAACGTAGGTGGATGGGAGTAAGAAAGACAAGCCACAGAAGGGGAGTAAGGGTTTGTCAGAAAAAGTTTGAAGAGGGCAAGAAAGGAAAGGCTCAGATCCAGCAGGAAACATTTAACTTAATCCTGGTTTTCAGTAAATATTGTCAACGCTAGGAATCCTTTCTTTTTCTTTCATTCAAAGTTTCAAATTTATTTTCCTATGGAATCTGTGTGAAAATTCTTTCATTTTAAATCTTACCTTAGAAACTTTGTACTTTTCATAAATATACTGTTACTGCTTGGAAAACTCTTTCCGTATTTGAGTTGCTTTATCTTTGTTATTACAGTGGTTAGAACTGAATTTCTCTAGAAATCCTGCTGGTTTTAGTTGACAGCATTTTTTCTCCAACAGATTATTTTTAGCAGAATAAAACTGAACCAAATTTTTATAAACTAATTCAGGCTATACAAATAACCAACAACAATAATTTCAGTTGTTAATTTTTGGTGGGGAGGGATGGCTCTCTTCTATGCAATCCCAATTGAACCAAATACTGGAACCTAATTCAGTCTACAGAAATAACCAGTGATAATAATTGCAATTGTTAAATGTTTTTTTATTTGGAATGGACATCCTTCCATGCAATCCCAAATCACTTAAGTAATTGAAAATTCTTAAATTCAATATGTGTATAGGTCCTTAAGTCAGAAATGCTGGAAAGAGCAGTGGAGAGACATTTTCTGCATATTTCCTGCTACACGTATATAAAATGTTCAAATAAATTGTCAGCAGTGTGTGAAAGATGGAAGGATTAATATTAAAATGACTTACATTAAAATGTGAATGTGATTGATTAAATAGAATGGATCTTTCATTAAGAATAATAGGAGATATTTCTTAGCTGGAAATCATTGTGGACTGATACTTAAATGCAGTTTAAGTTGTTTAATGTTCAGCTCACCAAAACTTGTAAGTCATTTTCATTATGATAACAGATAATAAAACATTGATAAAGGGGATAATTTAGTCTTATAGCCATTTTACTTATCTAGCATATAGTCATTAAAATACATAGATTCTTCACTGTTCTCCTTTATCACCTGACTTTATTGGCATCTTGTAAACCCAACCTAAAATTATTATGAATTGCATAGTATTTTAACTTTATATATAAAGAAAAATAAATTGTATAGAAATATTTTCTCTTACCCATCTTGTAAGAAATTGAAAAAACTCCTTCAAAGTGTTAAGCTTTCTAAAGTAGAAAAAATACAATAGGACAGGAATGGCAATAACACAGGTAGAAATTCTTTAGACACTGATTCATTTTGAAGGCCTTATTTGCCAAGTTCGGGAAAATGCTGCTTATGTACATTTGCTTCAAAACCAAGAGTCAACCAGTTGAACAACTGTGTGCTTTTGCCAGAAGAGGAAGAAGTGAGAAACTAAAATTCCCTTAATAGTGCCCAAGAATTCCCTTTAGGACAAAACTAAGCTGTTCTTCTGGGCATTGGAGATCTGAGTATGTAGGAGAAGTCCAGGCTGTCCCACAGGGCATTACTGACTTTAAAATAATAAACATAAAGTCATTGTAGATAGTTCCAGTTGTAACAGTTGAAATTGCACTGTTTTCCGTAATGGCTGCACCAAACTACATTCTCACCCACAGAGTTGGAGGGTTCCTTTTTCTCCACATCCTCTCCACCATTTATTGTTTATAATTTTCTTTTTTGATAGTGACTTTGTCTGGTTTTGGTATAAGGGTGATTGTGGCTTCATAGAATGAATTTGGGAGTGTTCCTTCCTTTTCAGTCTTTTGAAATAGTTTGAAAAGAATCGGTGTAAGTTCTTCTTTGTATGTTTGGCAGCATTTCTAGTGAAGCCATTCAGCCCTGAAATTTTATGTAAAGGGAATTTGGTTTTTATTACAGTTATATTTCATTTCTAGTGATTGGTCTGTTCAGATTATCTGTTTATGCTTGACTCAGTTTTGGCAGACTGTGTATTCCTAGAAATTTGTTCATTTCTTCTAGGTTGTCCAATTTGTTGGTAGAGCTGTTCATAGTATTCTCTTATGTTTTGTATTATGTACTGTTGGTTATTATTTCTTTTCTTTCATTTCTTATTTTGTTTATATGTGTCCTCTATCTTTTTTTCTTTGTGAGCCTGGCTAGAGGTTTGGCAGTTTTGTTTATCTTTTTGGAAGGGCCAGACTTTGGTCTTATTAATCTTTTTTATTGTTATTTTTATCCCTATTTGGCTTTATTTCCTCCCTGATTTTTATTATATCCTTCTTTTTGCTGAGTTTAGATTTTATTTGTTCTTCTTTTTCTAATTCCTTTAGGTGGCAGATTACATTGTATATTTGAGATTTTCCTTGTTTCTTGAGAAAGGCCTCTATGGCTGTGAGTTTCCCTCTTAGAACTGCTTTTGCTGCATCCCATAGATTCTGTGAGGTTGCATTTTCATTGTTGTTTTTCTCAAAGTATTTTCTGTTTTCCTCTTTGACATGATTTTTGATCCATTGGGTTTTTAGTAGCATGTTGTTTAGTATCCATGTGTTCATTTTTCCCCCATTTTTCTTTCTGTGGTTGATATCTAGTTTCACACTGTTGTGGTTAGAAAAGATGCTTGAAATAATTTCTGTCTCTTAAATTTGTTGTGACTTATTTTTTGACCTAGCATGTTTTTGACCTAGATAATGTTCCATGTGTGCTTGAGAAAAATGTGTATTCTCTTTTTTTGTACGTAATATTATGTGGATAGCAATTAAGTCCAACTAGTCTATTGTATCATTTAATATCAAATCATCAAATAAATGCAAATCAAAAACAATTAAATACCACCTCACACCTGTCAGAATGGCTATTACCAAAAAAACCACAAATTACAAATATTGGCTAGAATGTTGAGAAAAGAGAACTATTATATACTAGTGCAGCCACTGTGGAAAACACTGTGGATGTTTCTCAAAAAACTATATCATCTAGCAATGATATATACCCAGGATATATAGCATATAATCTAGCAGTTCCACTCCTGGGGATATATACGAAGAAAATAAAAACACTAATTCTAAAAGGTACATACACTTCTGTGTTCATAGTAGCATTCATTACAGGAACCAAGATATAGAAGCAACCTAAGTATTCATCAACAGATGAATGGATAGAGAAGATTTGTTTTGTTTATACAGTGGAATACTATTCAGCCATAAAAATGAATGAAATTATGCCATTTACAACAACATGAGTAGACTTGGAGGGCATTATGCCAAGTGAAATAGGTCAGACAGAGAAAGAAAAATATCATATGATATCACTTATATATGGAATCTAAAAAATACAACAAACTAGTGACTATGACAGAAAAGAAACTGACTTGCAGAAATAGAGAACAAACTAGTGATTACCATGTAAAGAGGGGAGTGGGGAGGGGCAATATAGAGGTAGGAACTAAGAGATACAAAATGTTATGTATAAAAGAAGCTCTATGGACATATTGTACAACAAAAGGAATATAGTCAATATCTTATAATAACTATAATTGGAGTATAACCTTTAAAAATTATGAATCACCATATTATATACTTATAATATATAATATTTTACATTAAATAGTCTTCCTTTTTTTGTTAAAAATGAACTCTTAAGTGAATTTTCAGTTGGTTTTCTGTGAGAATTGTCTACATGTAGATATATTTTTGATGTTTGTTGGGGAAGGTGAACTACACATCCTCCTACTCCACCGTCTTGATCCAGAGCTCTCTTGAAGAACATTATTTCTGGCTATGTCTTTGAGGGTGTTTCCAGAAGTGATTAGTATGGAATTGGTAGACTGAGTAAATCAGATGGCTCTCTACCATGTGAGTGGACATCATTCAGTGTACTGAGGTGCTGAACTGAACAGGAGAGGCAGTGGATGATCAGATTTGCTTTCTGCTTGACTGGTAGACATGCTCTTCTCATACCCTTGGTACTCTTGATTCTCAATACTTCAGACTCAGACAGGGATATATACCTCTGGTTCTACTGTCCCAAGCCTTTTAACTATGACACCTACTGTCCTAGGTGTCCTGCTTGCAGGGGTCAGATTCTCAGCCTCCATAACTGTATGAGCCAATACCTTATAATAAAAATCTGTATATAGATATAGGTTTATTTTTTCAATCAATCAATCAATCTCTATATATCATATTGGTTTTGCTAGACTGGAAAATCCTATACTAGTACAAATAATCATTATACATGTAGTGAGCTTCTTGCTTTATGTTGAAAACTAGCAAGAAACATGTTGCTACTGCTATTTCCCTCAAATAAGTCTCATTTAGAAGGTACCTTCTCAGAATAAAACATCACTTTATTACAGCATTTGGACCTCTATAATATGAAATTTCATTGAGAAATTTGATCCAGCTTGACAATTTTAAAAGTAAATTGAGGTCCCATCCATTTGCCTCACTTAAGTAAGGGAATGATATTGATTGGCTATCATTATTTTCAATCATGGTTCCCGAGAGAAAAATCTTAAAAATGTGTACAGTTCTTCATCCTTTGAAACAGATGTCCCATTGAAATCTATACCAAGCTGTCCAAACATGGAGGAAAGGATAAAATAGAGGGTGGCTGCCTTTAGAATATTTGCATAGCACTGATTAAGTAGGAGACAGAGTATGTGTAAAACTCCATTTGATGGTCTGTAAATATCTTGATATTATAGAAATTAGTTTCACTGATTATTTTAGAATGTTAGTTCTTTAAGTGTGGTCCCGACACAACAGCACCAACATTGCTGCATCAGAAACTCTAAAGATGAAGTTATCAATATATGATTTTACAAGCTCTCCAGTGATCCTGATGTCCACTTATGTTTGAGAATTACAATTTTAGGACAAAAATAGCAAAAGAAAGCCTCTGCCAGAGAGATTTTGACATATAGCAAATATGTATCTAATACATATATAGACAAAGATTTTGCCATGGTATTGTACAAATCAGAATTTGGGAAATACTGTTCTAGTTTTTTGGCATTTGTTTTCTCCTAACCCTAATTATGTTATTTCTTTGAACACAATCTTAGACAAATTTGTCAACAATCTCTGAACAGCAGGAAGTATTATAGAGTGGTGAGGAAAAAATGTATACATATATATTTAAAGAAATAGGAACTATGAAGTTTTTTTTAAATCTCCATGTTAAGAAAAAGAATACATCATCTTAAGAAATAGTGTGTCAGGTATATTATTTGTATTTCTATGGGATGATTTAATCCAACAATTCCAATGTTCCAGACAACTGTGTAAATGCAATATTCTGATATTAGCCTTTACATCTATGTATCCATTAAATAATACATTTGTATTTTCATAGTTTCTTTTTAAAGGAATAGGCAGAATTTATCTCATCTGAAATGTGGGCTTTGCACAGATACAAAGAGACATTTTTCCTCTTTCCCAACCTGGACTAAACTGACATGAATAGTGTACAAAATGAATAATAAATTGATGGCAGAAATGAGAATGGGACCACATCAATGGACTAGGGATGGTGAATTTCTAGAAGGCATAAAGAGGATTATACTGAAGGACAAATCAGAACAGAGGAATCACGTATGAAAAAGAGCAGGCTATAGACTGATTCTGAGTGTCTGAGAGGCCCTCACTGTCTGCTCTATAGTCACCTAACCTTGAGTAAGTCTTGACAGCAACAAACCACACTCATACGCTCAGAACTTGAGGTCAACCTTATCATTCAGAGAAAAAGCCATTTAATTACATAGTGTGCAGAATAAAGACACCCTAGTAGCTTTTATAGCTTATCAACCTAGATTTTAGGTCATAACAATAAATGAACTAGAAAAATTTAGATAATTGACAGGAATAGAAAAATTACTAGGACTTCTAAATTGTAATCTAAAAGAGTTTGTAGAGTAAGTATTATACAAGTCCAAGTGTAATCTAAGAAGAATAAACTAACAAGGTTTCAAATGAGTGTACATTCCAATCCTTTTTGGGTAATCTGGAAATGCATAATTGAAGTTCTAACATATAAGACGGACCTTGAAGACAATACATCATTTCAATTGTAAAATGGATATGGGACATTTGTTGGGAGCGAGGGACAGATTCTCTGTGCAGAGACCTTTATGAGCAAAAGGATGATCATGAGGAGTGAGGTGTGCCCCACATGCTTTCAGTAACTCATTTTGAATATGACACAGAGTTTATTAGGAGAAATGTGAAGGAAGAGACTTCAGAGTTAAAACACTATTTATTTGAAAGTACCTTGTATTATCCCAGAATGAAGAAATGTAGGGTAAAGAAGGTAGAGATAGAGATAGATAGAAATATAGTTATAGATGTAGATATATTTCGTGTAATCTGCACATAGAAATGAACAAATAAATATATACTTAAGTATGTATACAGATCTAGGTATATATATCGTATATCTACATAACACAGTAACATTGATAGTCCATTAAAAATTGTTTAAGAGTGATTTGATTTTACCTGAGGTTTGGGGGGGTTGTTTGTTTATTTTTGTTTTTTTAACAAAGAATACTCTGGCAGCTGTGTTGGGAAGTAAGAATCACAAGATGTTGTAAATCATAGAGGTAGGTAGTTAGGAGGTTGAGGGTCCCAGTGGTAAGAGTAATAATATATGTAGAATCATTGGTGAGAGGAAGAAAAGGAGTGGACCTCAAAATGAATCACTCATTGTTTCTAGAATATGGGGTGGGATGAAAATGAACACTTAAGTACTTTGGATCACAAGCATACAAACTCTTGTTCATTTTCATGTTCTTCCCAGCCACACATTGAGCACCAAGACATCATATCAACCTAACAGTATTTGAATGTTGATAATATGCATTTAAAGCTCCTCGTTGTCAACCATGCATTCCAATAACCGTTACATATTACTGATTTCTTTATCTCACTAGCTTCATTTTTAAAAAATTCTAAGATGATTGACCATTTTCTACCTGTTCTGCCACTTTTCATCTTCTCTGTGCCTATGTAGCTTAAATCTTCAATCCAATCTGTTAGCTTTCTGAATTTATGAAGTTTTTCAGACTGACCTACAACATACAAACACAGCTAGAAATAACCTTAGAACCACCTTGGACAGTGAGAGGGAACACACCTCTTTGCCTTTCCCTAAGAAGAGAGTAAGCCACGAGCATCTCTTAAACAGTATAGATCCATCTTCACTGTCTTAACTCTCATGTCATTTAAAAAATCATTGCTTTCCCATTTCTGTTTATTTCTTTGTGTGGCATGGAGTTCATCTCCTCAGGTAGTAAAATTTATCATATCCCAAATAATGTGGAATGTAAGGCCTTTTGATGGCTAGCAGAATTCCTGGGATTTGCCTTTGCTCTCTCAGATAAAAATCTGCCTCCGTGCGGAGTTAAATGAAATATGAGTCTCTAGGCTATATGGCTGCATAAGTATAAAACACGTTATAAACAAGTCCTGTTTAGAGAAACTGCATTATTTTAGTACTTAACACATTTATAAAGCCACATTGAACAACATACAAGCTTGTAAATGTTTTCATTCCTGTTTCCTCCTCTATTTTGGTATGATATAAAAAGTTAAATACACAAATGTTTTAAGGAATTTAGTAGATACTAACATCTTAAATCATTAAAATAATAGGACAGCTGTAAGTGCAAAACCTGTAAACAATAATCAACACATAGCAACATCTAATCTGTACAATTTTTGTTGTTTTAATGAAAAGAGAGCACATGTTAGTATATCTAAGCATTTCTCTTTAACATCTTTGTAAGTGAATCTATGACTTTCTTATTTCTCAAACTGTAAATAATTGGATTTAAGAAAGGAATTATGACAGTGTAAAAGAGAGAGTCCATCATATCTTGATTATTTTCTTGTACAGATCCAGGGAGCACATACATGAAGAGAAGTGGGCCATAGTATAGAGAGACAGATAAGAGGTGGGCTCCACAGGTGGAGAAGGTTTTCTTTATGCCTTGTACAGACTTTCTTTTAAAGATTGTAAAGAGAACTAGTGTATAAGAGACAAGAACAATGAGAATGGTGAATACCTGTATTAACCCAGCAAAAATGAATACCATCAGGAAATTAATGGAAGGGTCAGTACAGGAAATCTTAAGCAATGGTACAATGTCACAGTAAAAGTGATGAACTGTGTTGGCATCGCAAAAGGTCAATCTGAATAAAAAAGCATTATGAAGTATGGCATGAAAAAGGCCACCTAAAAATGACAAAGCTAACAGCTGGATGCATAGTCTGTTGGTCATAATCATTGGATAAAGTAATGGTTTACATATGGCCATGTAGCGATCATATGCCATTGTGGCCAGCAAAAAACATTCTGTGGTTACACAGATCGCAAAGGAAAAAAATTGTATCTTGCATTCAGAGAGTGATATCAGTGTGCTCTTAGCAAAGAAGTTGACTAGCATCTTGGGGGTCACTGTGGTTGATAACCAAGTATCCACAAAAGCCAGGTTCCCAAGAAATAAGTACATGGGGATGTGAAGTTGAGGGTCATTGCAGATGAGAGCAATCAGACCAAGGTTTCCCACGATGGTGGTGAGGTATATCATCAAGAACATCAGGAACAGGGGGATTTGCCACCCTGGTTGATACGTAAGTCCTGTGAGAACAAACTCTGTCAGCTCTGTTGCATTTTTTGTTTTCATATCCTTAATAGATGGCTTCTGAAATACAATGCAGTAAATGGAAAAAGAACTTACAACCTCTGAATATCCATGTGACATAAACTTAGCAATATTATTAACAGGTGCTTAATAAAGACTTGGAAGTCATTGAGGCGGCTGAAGTATTGTATGTATGTCTTACCCAGTGAACAGTATAAATAAAGTTGAAAGAAGGCATGAAAATAAAAGTGATAAAATTATATCAAAGAGATTAAAAAATGAATATGCATTATTTATTAGATGGATAACCCTGATCATCTTTTCTACAACATAAGTCTTCATGTTGACCAAAGCTCCCGTTCACTCTAGAAGCCAAAAGTTCTAGAAACTGATTTTCTCCTTGCACATAAAGTAAGGGAACTAGATCTCCAGTTAGCCACTAAAACTCATCTACACTGGATTTAGAATACATTAAGGGGAGATGAAATGTGGACAGAAGAGATTTTTGGTTCAAAGTCAACCAAGGGAGCAATATCGTGACCTCAGAAAATGCATTCTACACCCACAACAATGACATTATCAGCATGAGTTGTGACAGTCAAGTTCAGCAGCAATGCAACTGAACTAGAGTTGAAACATGATTTTAGGTGTTAACTGTTAACTTCTTTATTTGCCTTCCTGCCCATTTCTCCAGTAGATTTTTCCAGCTTCCCTAGCATTTATTTATTAGAGCCAATTTTCATTCAGTTAACTCTTCTTGTCTTGCAACCAAGAGCTCTCACTCACAAAAGGGAGCGAAAACACTACTGAGCAGAGTGATCAGAGAAGCAGTAAGGAATTGGAAAGCTGAATGTTGTGAACTTAAAGAGAGGAAATGCTAAAGGACAAAGGAGGGTACAGTGCCAAAAGTGAAATAATTGAAATATTAAAGAGCAAACAAATATCACTGAGTGTGGGGATTAAGACATTTTTTAATGGCTTTAGTGAGAGCAGTTTCCATTTTATGATAGAGTTGAGGTCAGAGAATAGTGAGAAAGAAGTAGGAAAGAAGTGGCACAGCAGTGAGAAGAATGAAATAGATTAAGATGTGGAGAACAAATATGAATTTCTTGTCTTGTAGAACAATGACTTGAAAGTTTTCAAAAGAGAAGGAGGAGGACATTGAGAGGATAGAGGATAGAAAGTGGAATGACAAATTTGGATAGCTGAAAAAAAACAAGAAGCAGGAAGGGAAGGAGGGACATAGTTTGATAAGTATAGGAAAGACAAGGCAATAAAGAGGCAGAAAGTATTAGAGAAAGGCTGAACGTGAAATTAGGGGAAAGGCTAAGGGTGGGGCATAAATATTTGTCTTAACTCTGTCTTTCCTTTAAAGTTGTCACCACTGGGAAACCTTTCTTTTTGTTTTATTCAAAATCCCAAGCTTATTTTCCTATGGAATTTATGGAATAGAGACTTTCATTTAAATTTTACTTTATAAATTTGTATTGTTAATAAATATATTACCACCTCCTAGAATCTTTGTATTACTGTAAATGGAGCTGACTTTTTCTACTACTCTCACTGGGTTTCCTTTAGAACTTTGGCTTTTTCACCAGTTTTATAGGAGAATAAAATTGAGCCAAAAACTAGAATTTAATACAGGAATATAAATAACCAATGCCAATAGCTGTGGTTGTTAAATATATATTTATTAGCCTGGGTTCCCTTCCACGCAATCCCAAATAAATAATAATCAAAAATTTTGATTTGATGTGTGGGTACTTTTTAAGTCAAAAAGCTGAGAAGAGCACTGGGGAAACATTTTCTGTATATATATATATATATATATTTGTTAAATTGTATGTCAGATAAATTATTTTTCATTTCCAATGAAACTATGTTCAAAAGTGGGTGGAAGGATTGAGAGGTTACTATTTAAGTGATTTAACTTAACATATAATTAGAGTGTGGTTAATTTAATAGAATAAATATTTTGAACAGAATTATTAGAAAGATTTCTTACATATAAAACATTATGACCTAAATCTCTATCTCATTTTTAATTTGTTTAATGTTCTTGTTTAGTAGAATTTATCCTATGGAGTCATTATGATCATTTTGACTGTATAATTGTATATCATTAAAGGGTACAGTGTAGTCTTAGAGCTATTTTGCCTACCCAGATAATACTCACAAAAATAATATATACAGATTATTCACTATATGCTTTCCATTTTCAGCTGGCTATTTTGACATCTTGTAAACCAAATCAAAATTATTATAAATTTAACATTTTAACTTTTTATGAAAAATACTGAATTTTATAGAACTCATTCTGTCTCACCAATATCTGTTAAATTGTTGAGATCCCTTCAGTGTTCAGCCTTCTGCAATAGAAAATACAACAGCACTGGAATGACAGTAACTCAGGCAGCAATATTTTGCACACTGGTTCATTTTGAAGACTTCACTATCCAAGCTCAAGAAATTGTTGTTTATATAAATTTGTTTGAACAGAAGACTCAACTGATTGTACAACTGTGTACTTTTGCCAGAAGAGGAAGGAGTGAAGAACTAAAATTCCCCTGAGAGCACCCATGGGCTCCCTTGAGGACAATGCTATGCTGTTCTCCTGGGCATTGTGGACTTGGACATTTATGAGAAATCCAGGTTGTTCCACAGGGCTTTACAACTCTGAAATCATACACAGTAGTCATTGTAGACAATTGTAGTTTTAACAGTTGAAATTGCATTTTTGCCACTACCTTCACCATAGATGACACTTCTGACATGTTTATGCAAATTTCAGTGTATCTCTAAACTTTGATACTCTGAGTGCTTTGATGATTATGCTCTTGTCTCAGCTAATGACACGATTCTAAAGAGGTCAAGGTTCTAGATTCCCTTTAAGAGCCAACCCCAGGAAAGTTGTTTTTCCCAAGTAAACTGTAGCTCCTATTCCAGACCTATGCCATCAGAGAGACTAGGTCGCTGGAAAAGTACATGGTAAGTGTGGCTTGCAAAGAGAGAACCAGGAGGAGCCAGACGAGGACAGGGAGGCCTGTGTATGTGGTAGCACAGCAACTGGAGGCTAGGTCAGGGAGTTTGTTGTTTACCCCAATTTAGAGGAAAACTATTGAGGGATTCTGAACATGGTAGTAACATATTCAGATCTGCCCTTTGTACACAACATACAAAGTTGTCAATGAACATTCATTCAGAATAATAAAACTTTATTTATTTGTGGTATTTTTATATCTGAACAACAACAACAAAAAATAACCTCCACTTGAGACTTCCTTGGCTAGACAAGAGGAAAGCAAGCAGCATCATTCTGGTAGACTGATTAATCAGTTATCTTGCTTCCTTACAATTTTGCTGGTGAAAGACAAAATAGAGAAGAGTAACATAGAAGAGTTCCTGTAAAAAGTGCACAGAAGAGCATAGCAGAGAGTGTGATGTGCAGAGGTAGCTTCAACATAATCAAAACCTGACTTAAATTTACTGTCCTCTTCAATTTTGTGTGATTACCTCCTAATTTATTTGGTTGCCTATTTGTAAGAACAAAGGCCTGTGTTGCTGCTTCCAATATGAAGAGTCTTTTCAATTTTAGTCATTTTAATAGGTAATATCTCACTGTGCTTTTGTTTGCATTTCCCTAGTAATTAATTATATAGTGCATCTTTTTGTGTCCTTCTTTGACATCTGTATATCTTTTCTGGTGAAGTGTTTGTGCAAACATTTTGCCCAGTTTTTAATTAGGTTATTTGTTTGCTTTTGTGTGTGTGTGTGTGTGTGGTTGTTGTTGGGAGTTTTGAGAGTGCTTCATACATCCTGAATACAAGTCTTTTATCAGATATATAATTTGTAAATGTTATGATACATCACAGTAGTTTATTACATTAATGACATTATGCTGGTTAGTCTTAGCAAAAAGTAATACTTATTGGTAAGATATTTACAGGACAGAGGTGAAAAACAAATTTGATAAAAATTTAGGAGCCTTCTACTTCAGTGAAATTTCTAGGTGTCCAGTGATATAGGACATAGCCAGATGACTCTTCTAAGGTGAAGTATAAATTGTTTCCTCTGGCCCTTCCTGAAACCAAAAGAGAGGCACAACACATAACATGCCTCTGTGGATTTTAGAGGCAATATTAGTCTTATTTGGATGTGTTACTTCATCCCATTTACCAAGGCTAGTTTTGAGTTTGACTCAGAGCAAGAGAAGCCTTTTCAACATGTCTAGGCTGCTATGCAAGCTGTTCTGCTACTTGGGCCACATCTAGCACATCCAGTGGTGCTTGCTGCAGTGGAAGATGCTTGGACCCTTTAATATGCCTCTGAAGATGGATCACAATGCCAGCCCTTAGAATCTGGGAGCAAAGCACTGTCATCCTCTGTGGATAACTACTCTACTTTAGAGAAAGAGTCATTGGCCTGCTGGTGAACCTTAGTGAAAAACAAATATTTGACCATGGGCCACCAATTTGCCATGAATCCAGAGCTGCCTTTGACAAACTCAGTGTTGTCTGATCCACTGACCATAGCGTTGGTTTTGCGGGCAGCATGCCTTCATTAAATGGAGGTAGCATACACTTGATCAAGCATGGACAGGCCCTGAGGGCCCAAGTAAGTTACATAAAGAAGAGGTTAAAATGCTGTTTGTCTCTACTTCTGCTGCCAAGGCTTCTCTCTCCCAGCCGGCACCTTTGGTCCCATAGGGTGTTCTTTATCTTTAGTTGACAGAGAAGAGAAGACTGAGGACTGATTTTTGGGTGGTTCTGCCTAGTATATAGGCACCATCAGAAAGTAGACAGCTACAGCACTACAGCCCCTCTCTGTGACATTCCTGAAGGACAGTGGTGGAGTGAAAACCTTCCAGTGGGAAGAACTTTGAGCATTGCACCTGGTTTTTCACCTTATTTTGGAGGAGAAATGGTCAGAAGTGTATTTATATACCAATTCATTGGCTATGCCCAATGAATTGGTTGGATGTTTAGGGATATTGAAGGAATATGACTGGAAATTCATGACAAGGAAATTGGAGAAGAGTTATATTAATAGATTTCTCTGAATGG